GATATGCTTGTTGCGCATAAAGTTTCTAAAATAGCATAAGCTGAAAAAGATATTTCATTTACATTTACTGAACTGATAAGAACAAACATTAGTACAAGCTTGTGATTTTGTCGCATAACAGACTTGCTTCCAAAGTTTGGCTCAGTGCCAGATTCTTCTGACAGGTGTATTCTGGCCAATGATTACAACTGACATCCAGTCATCATCCGAACTTTAATCAAACATTACAAATACATGTACTTCCTTTGACTATCACAGGTATATTCTCAGGCTAATCAAGTTCAACATACATGTCTAAAACCACCTGCCTGGGATTTATTTCAATCTTGTTGGGAACAACTTTTAACTGGACTGGTCTGGTCTGGTAAAACAAGAGTTGGTACAATCACACCCTTCTCGGAGGAGTTAAAAAGACACTGTAAAGGCAACCTGTATCCTAGCAACACAGCAAACAAACAACACCTCAAAACTCTTGGGTCTGTCAGAGCTGATAAAGCACTGAATTATCAATGTCTGCTGCAGTTGGAAAGATATGTAGGGGGCAAACCCAGAAAGGTCAGGACAAATCACAGAGGAGTTTCCCTGATGGATCAGTGTGATTCTTTTCGTTGTTCCTTGTTGTGTTTTATGGGGGAGTTGATATGAGTGGAAGGATGCTGCTTTATCATGAAGTGCCTGATAATTCAGCACCAGTGACTTGTACCATCCATCTACACTGAGTTTTTGATCCATAGTGAGTCTTCAAGGTCTCATCCAAGATATTGGATCTGATGAACTCTGGGAATAACAATTGATTTTCAATGGTGTTGTGAAGTTGGAACAAACTACGTAACAGTATCTTGGAAAGGGAAATTCCTTACACCAAGAAATTTGACGAAATAGCAGGAAAATGTTCTAACACTTTTGGGAAACATACTTATTTGAAACAAAACTTAGCTACCCATGTTACTGCTAGGCTATCCTTATTCCCTTGTAACAGTTGGACCAAGAAAAAGTACTCATGGTGAGGACTCAGTGAATGCCAACAAGGGGAAGTGATTAACAAAAACTTTCTTTCTCTGTACAGAATTGAGCCATCTACTGTAGCTGCAGTACACACAGTTTTCATGAAGTGTTACTCTACATAAAAACATTATTTTTCAAGTATGGACAAAAGATCTGTACTTGAATATGCCCTTAAAGCCTTGACTAAACACAAAACTATGCTGACTGGTGTTATATAAGCTAAGCTCATGTCCATCTTGGCAACAAGAGACTGAAAATGTTGTTATACTACATTGATATTTGAAACCCAGGGATATTTTACAGTTGTAAAACCTCTTACATTGGCAAGTTACATCAGGAAAAGCATCAGATCTTTTAGGTGGAACTGTGTAAACTATGCATATGTAAGACCCTTTTAGCTAATTTTAGCCCAGTACTATTTGAGGTTTGCCAAGTTTGCACAGGCTGTCTTCATCACCATGGTAACCCTTCTGTTGTGGTTCAAAGGTACCTCCCCTTAAAGTCGGGAACAAAATTAGTTCTCCTTCTGTGGTTTTCTGGCATAATACCACAAGAAATGTCATACATGTGTATTATGTTTAAAAAAGCAAAATGGGCTTAGTTGCCTGTATATATAGAGAGTGGTGTTACACAATGATGTTTAAAGTATCATACATGTGGTCTGAGGAAAAGGTGTACATACTAAATTTTCTAACTCAGCACAGTTGGCCCCATTCTCACTTATACAAGCTGTCTTTGAAACATGCCGATAGAATTCCAACATGCATGACATAACATAACAGCCTCACCTTACTGTTGCTGTCAATATTTACTGACACAGTTCACATGTTCTCCATGACTTAACAACAGCCACAGAGATAGCAATGTTACCTGTGTAAACACTTTCTCTGTTTTCTCCACTTGGTCCTGTAATGCTAATCATTTCACTTAAGTCTTGGAATGACAAACAGGTCTTCAGAAGAATGTCCATCTAAAGTAAACTTTCTCAAACCTGCTTGCAAGAACATTGTCAAAGTGGTAAAAATGCACATAAGGTACATACACAGCCTTACAAATAAATAGTCTTAAACTTCACTATCTTGTCTTATAAAAGCTAGCTTGCTCTACAGTACAAATCAGTATAAACTGGTAGATATTCAGATATCATATTTGGAAAGTGTGGGGGAAAAGTAATATTTCCTGTGACCTGACCTATAAACCCTACATGATTGATAGTCACAAAACTGATCTGGTCACTCAATTAAGTATTTATGACAGAAAGATACTTGACAACATCCCTTGGGACAACAATAATATCATCAAAATATCTACAATATCTAATGATCTTGTTTTGAGTATCATTATTGCCTTGAGGATGTCAAAATGTTATTTTGAAACACAATGACTAAATAATAAATTGTCAAATTTTACTTGTCACGAAAACAGCCTACTAGCAATCTGCCAAAAAGCAGCTATGAAGCATTGCAAAAATCTTATTTTAGATTTGGGCATATGAAGTCAACTGTCATAATTGTTTGCTGTCTAAAAATGAAAACATCTGATCATTTAGATTTTAGAAGTATATAACGTTATATCTCTTAGAGAATTTTACCTTCATATGCACAAGTTGACAGTAGACAATTTAATACATATCTAAACCTTTCATTCTATCATGATTTATTAGATACTTTACCTCCTAATCCACTATCTGATAACAAGGCCAGAAGGTGTCAGGATGATAATACCCTCAGAGGCAGTTCAGTCGATCATAACTCAATTATGAGGTGCTAAAGCTGTCCAACTCTACAAGCTTTCCTGTACACACAGAAACAAGAACCACTCAGTGCCTGTTTACCAAGTGAAATCCCCCAGCTGGCCATGTTGAAACCAGCTCACATTACACTTTACAGGATACGGGCATTATGTAACCTGCATGTAGAGAACACAGTAGGTGATAGAATGACAGCAGATTAGCCTGTACTGAAGTGTGTTGTATCTGCAGCCACTTGGCGCAGATTAGGGGGCTGATTTATGTATGTAGAAGTCACTTTCTCCACATTGTCTGAGCTGTTGCAATCAGGCTTTTAGCTAGGGGGTGTCCAGGGTGTCTTTTGGACGCCCTGTACTGAAAATAATAAGAAATTGGACGCCCTACTTTTTTGTAGGACACCCTAAAGACGCCCTATTTTTTCCACTCCCAACCCTTGCCATGCACACATGCCTCCCTTCAGCCTTACTATAAATACAAAAATGATGGTTTACTAAAGGAAAAAACTCAAATTTACACCTGAAAATGCAGAAAGTAGTGTTTGAGAGCATTATGAATTTCAAAAAAGCCCCCCTAAAATCTTGCACTCAGCATGTCTTCACTGTGCATAGCATACAATAAAAAAAATGGACGCCCACCAAAAAAATCCTAGCTAAAAGCCTGGTTGCAATACTACAAAACAGTCCTGGGAACAGGATGTTTCCTTGGCCCAAAATCTGTACATGAAGTTGTGGGAATAATGGCATTTCATATTTAGCAATTTTGAAATCTTCTTCAGTAGCATTATTAGAATGAACTGCAGGAAAAGACACCGCTAAGTGTGAATAAAGATTAGCTTTGGTGATGTGATGATACCAGCATAATTGGATGTCCCCAAGTCTAGGTGGGGTAATGGTTACATGTTGGATGTCTTCAGTTACACGCACCTGAATTGTACCCCACAGAATTTGATACAAGATCCCAGCTACCTGACACCACGGGTATTTAAGGAATCCCAGCCCAAACAGGGTTTAACTTTTAAAAGGGGTCAAATTAAAGTAAACCACAACATGCTCTTCCCACCAAAACAGATTTTAGGATTGATGCAATCATTACAATGACAACCTCTGTTGCTTACCTTGACTTTTGACCTTGCCACAAGATTTTTATTTTGTTTATTTTGTTTCACGTATTAGTTTTGATCTTCCTATAGAAAGTAAGACAAGGGCACTTTGTTTTAGTTTGTTTCTAAATCTATTCACGGGTCACTTGGCTTGTTTCAAAACAGCTCAAGCTAATCCAGAAAAAGGAAAAGGCTAGGTCAGGAACAATCTTGAAGCTTCTATGAAAACGATTTTTGCTTTTATCAAGTAACATTTCATTTGGCTACTTATAACAGGAAAAATAAAAGTAGAGGGAGCCTTACCTGTATTTGCTGCATTGATAATTGATTTTTAAAACGGTTATAATATTTTGTCCAAGTGATCCTTAACGTAAGGTGGCTTGAAGTCTTAAGCAAGGTGAGGTCAAGACATTGTCAGCATAACATAACATCAGTAAACTTTCAGCAATACTACTTGAATGTTTGAGACATATGAAGTTAGTGGTTATTTTAATACAGTCCTACACACCATTTAGAGCTGAGGTCATACTAGTATTTTGCAAATAAAAGAGTGAATTCTGTCCACCTTCTGTAAACTTTCCGGTTGACATATTTCAGAGAAGGGTCAGACATCAAGCTTGGCAATGGTAATTCCCGCGAAATTATATCGCAATCTGCGTCCTGCATTCACGTTTCACGGCTGGACGAATATCGCAATTATTCATGAACCTCAAGTTGTGAGGCTGATGTCCCACCTCTGATAACTGAGGAAAATCGGCAACGAGAATCCTGATCTTCGTCAGAAAATGTCTCAGATTTGACACTTTTGCAGGGGCTCTACAATCTCTCATTTCGCACCAGAACGATCTACTGATAGTTAAGGTAATTAACTGAGAAAACCAATGCTATTTTAGTGACAAAGCGTCGTTTGTGGAACATTACACCGTCAGGGTTCAGCTCAGCTAAGCGGACCACACAACCACCTGCCCCCCACCCCTCCCCCCAAAATAACGGTACCACTTTACCTGTCCTGCTTGTCACACCTGTCCTAAGATAACCTTGCTACACCTGTTCTATGGGCAGTATAACGGGACTGCATGCCTTGGTTAGCGCGGCTGACAACAATGAATAAAGATAGCCGCGGGCGAATAGTATGAATATGCCTACCTTTTGTTCGCTCGGTGCAATCACTTTGTGAGTTCCCCCATCCAAACCTGGCGGGCTTTTCGATTTAAACCTCCATCCTTCGCTCCTTTCCAGCGGGAACCATAGGCATTCCTTGCTCAAACTGTCTCAAAGCCATCCTTAGAAAGTAATGTCCATTCGTAGCAATGAAGTTGTGGGAATAAATTCGAGGGAAAACTGTATGCTATGTTTACACCCGAGGTGAATCTGCTCAGGTTTCCCTCCTCCAGCAGTCGGCAGCTGGCAACATGGCGTCTGAATGAACTCATTAATTATTCATGACCTAGGCGGGGCTTCTCGACTTTGACCCTAAAAGAAACTTAACTTTGTTCTCTACAGACACGGTTCAATACATCCGCAAGTTTGAGTAACGAGCAAGCTGTCGTCCAAAATCAGGACTGACTATCTCAATATATGCATCTGGTACTGAATATATGCATGTTGAAATCAATAATGTTAACGTTAACGTTACACATTAAGCCAATAACAGGTGGTCTCACCTGATATGGTTGTCAAGTTCACGTAAAGAACAGGAGAGAGGCACCAGAAGACAACAAAAGAATTCAATATAATGTTAGCTCTTCACCAAACGTTACATGTAGGGAGTTGATATTCCAAAATATACTTCATAAATAATCATGTTTTTCTTGTACACAAAACTGTTAACCGTTAATGTTACAACACAGAAGAACAGACAAATGATTCAATATCAGAAAGAAAAGTCACTTTTTTAATCATTCTGCATATTTTCAGCCAAACTTACATGTCATCAATATCATTTCATGTCTGAAATTAAATAAAATATAATGTTAAAACATTTGATGGCAGCACAACTTAATTTGATCCAACAATCATTCCACAGAAACAGTTAATGTTAATGTTACATGTGTACATAACATGTGCTATAAAGTAGGTAAAGGTGAGGGGCTAATGAGGAAAAGAGGTGCTATCATGCAATATCTATATCTGTAATCTACTATAATACAAAATGACTTTCTACCCTCAATACAAATCAAGGAGGTTAATACAACCTCCTTGAGACAAATGCATAGGTAATACCAGGAAGTAGATTCAGCAAATAAAATCATGAATTCTTATACACAAACATCTTGCAAAGTAGTAAATTGACCAATTGATAAAGGTGCACAACACACTTGCTT